TGTATTCCAAACAGGACAATGACCCAAAGCATACAAGTAAGTCAACAAAACAATGGCTGCAACAGCACAGAATATGCCTTCTGGAGTGGTCCAGTCAGAGTCCTGACCTCAACCCGATTGAAATGCTGTGGCATGACCTTAAGAGAGCGATTCACACCAGACATCCCAAGAATATTGCTACACTGAAACAGTTTTGTGAAGAGGAGTGGTCCAAAATTACTCCAGATCGTTGTGCAGGTCTGATCTGCAACTACAGGAAACGTTTGGTTGAGGTTATTGCTGCCAAAGGAGGGTCAACCAGTTATTAAGTCCAAAGGTTCACATACTTTTTCCTCCCTGCACTGTGAATGTTTACATGTTATGTGCAATTAAACCATGGCAACATCTAATGTTTTTGTGTAGTATTATGTTCAGCAGACTGTTCTTCTATTGTTGTGACTTAGATGACGTTCAGAGCACATTTTATGCCCAATTCATGCAAAACTCCACGTAATCCCAAGGGGTTCACATACTTTTTCTTGCAGCTGTATATATATTGGTTACATCTTTTCTGTAAATATTTTTATTGTACCATTTTGACTTTTTTAGTAATAAATTATATTTTCTGAAAAGTGTTGAATTGTTTCTAAAGCACATTAATGCAAACTAAGAATCCCTGTCTCTGAAGAGTGCTACTGTGTGTTTAAAACCTCTGGATACATCGGTCTGCGGTGACAGTGTGTATACAGACGATTATTCAAACATCATAGTGTTACTGCTAGGATTTGTGAGTTTCCTCCTTCTCTGTAAAAAGGTGGTGGTGGCATTGTGAAGGGTTAATTGCGTAATTAACCTGACCCAGTAACAATCCCTCTTAGGCTGTTGGCACCTAGATTGGGGTCCAGTGAGCTGGAAAATCTTTGTGCAGGGTGTAGCCGAGAGTGCATTGTTTCGCAAGTGGCAGCGCGGTTTTAGATTGGCTAGTCCTTGGGTCACAAGTTGGTGAGAAGGACTGGGGTCTGATGCCGCGCCTGTCACAGCCCCTTCCTGTTCCAACATGACTGCACACCAGTGCACAAAATAGGGTCCGTAAAGACATGGAGGAGCCAGTTTGGGTTGGAGGAACTTGACTGGCCTGCACAGAGTCCTGACCTCAACCCCATAGAATACCTGTGAGTCAGGCCTTCTCCCCCGATATCAGTGCCTGACCTGACAAATGTGCTTCTGGAAGAAAGGTCAAACCTTCCCATAGACACCCTCCTAAACCTTCCCAGAAGAGTTGAAGCTGTTATAGCTGCAAAGTGTGGGGCCAACTCAATATTGAACCCTATGGACTAAGACTGGGATGCCATTAAAGGTCATGTGTGTGGAAAGGCAGGCAGCCCAATACTTGGGGCAATACATTGTATGCTAACATTATGCTCACACGTGCTCTTGAGGAAGGCTGAGTGTTGGCGAAACGCATCTAGTTTTGTCGTATAATTACAACAAAAGTCCTGTGACGGAATCTGTAAACCTCTTTTTTGTCACTACGTATGGATGGAATCACGTGTCTCCTTCTTAATATTTCTACAATAAAAGTGGACTTTGATGTACAGTGAGGAACAGAAGTATTTGAACACCCTGCAATTTTGCAAGTTCTCCCACTTAGAGATCATGGAGGAGTCTGAAATTCACATTGTAGGTGCATTCCCACTCTGAGAGACAGAATTAAAAAAAAATTCAGGAAATCACATTGTATGATTTGTAAAGAACTTATTTATCTTGCACTGCTGAACATAAATATTTGAACCCCTGAGAAGATCCGTGTTAATATTTGGTACAGAAGCCTTTGTTTGCAATTCCAGAGGTCAAACGTTTCCTGTAGCTCTTGACCAGTTTTGCACTGCAACAGGGATTTTGGCCGACTCCTCCACACAGATCTCCTCTAGATCTGTCAGGTTTCGGTGCTGTCGCTGAGCAACACGGAGTTTCAGCTCCCTCCAAAGATGTTCTATTGGATTTAGGTCTGGAGACTGGCTAGGCCACTCCAGAACCTTGATATGCTTCTTACGGAGCCACTCCTTGGTTCTCCTGGCTGTGTGCTTTGGGTCGTTGTCATGTTGGAAGACCCAGCCACGACCCATCTTCAATGCTGTAACTGAGGGAAGGAGGTTGTTGCTCAAAATATTACAATAAATGGCCCCATTCATCCTCTCCTTAATACAGTGCAGTTGTCCTGTCCCCCTCGCAGAAAAGCACCCCCAAAGCATGATGTTACCACCCCCATGCAGCACAGTAGGGATGGTGTTCTTGGTATGCAACTCATCCTTCTTTTTCCTCCAAACACGACGAGTGAAGTTTAGACCAAAAAGTTCTACTTTGGTCTCATCTGACCACATGACTTTCTCCCATGCCTCTTCTGGATCATCCAGTTGGTCATTGGCAAACTTCAGATGGGCCTGGACATGTGATGACTTGAGCAGGGGAACCTTCCGTGCAATGCATGATTGGAAACCATGACGGCGTAGTGTTCTACCGACAGTGACCTTTGAAACTGTGGTCCCAGCTCTCTTCATGTCATTGACCAGCTCCTCCTTGTAGTTCTGGGCTGATTCCTCACCTTTCTTATCATCGGTGATACCCCACAAGGTGAGATCTTGCATGGAGCCCCAGTCCGAGGGAGACTGACAGTCATCTTTAGCCTCTTCCATTTTCTAACAATTGCTCCAACAGTTGATCTATTTTCACCAAGCTGCTTGGCAATTGCCCCGTAGCCCTTTCAAGCCTTGTGGAGGTCCACAATTTTGTCTCTGGTGTCTTTTGACAGCTCTGTGGTCTTGCCCATGGTAGTAGTTGGTGTCTGACTGACTGTGAGGTGGACAGGTGTCTTTAAAGAGCTCAGACAGGTGCTACTAAGTTAGATTAATGAGTGGAGTAGAGGTGGACTTTTTAAAGCACAGTAACATGTCTTTGAGAGCCAGAATTCTTGCTGTTTCTTAGGTGTTCAAATACTTATGTTCAGCAGTGCAAGACAAATAAATTCTTTAAAAATCATACAATGTGATTTTCTGAATTTTTTTGTAAATTCTGTCTCTCAGAGTGGGAATGCACCTACAATGTGAATTTCAGACCCCTCCATGATTTCTAAGTGGGAGAACTTGCAAAATCGCAGGGTGTTCAAATACTTCTGTTCCTCACTGTATACCCTGTGTTACCAGTTTTCTATCTGCCCTGAGAAAATCCCATAAATGTAGTATTCTCCTTTGGACGACGTCCATAAACACTCAAATGATAAAAAGGAACAAACGACTTCTAAACATAGAACACTGATAGGAGGACGAGTACTTTGGTCATGGCACTGAATGTCATCCTATCATCTTCGACCAAAAATTCTTTAAACAAAGCCAGATCTTCAGTTCTCATCCAGCCTGCGTGCGTGTTGGGCTCCAGCTAGGAAAGAAGGCGCGTCACCAATTTCGATAAAATTTCAACATATAGTTTATTACAAGTGCACCACAAGATAGGAAACACAAAATTCTTCATTAAAGCTGAACTCAAGGCAAGTAACTAAATACACAGATGGATGCAGATCAGAATTTAGGAATACATCCTTAAAAGGGAATTCCATGTTTTGCCAAAAAACAATAAATGCGACCATGTTGCAAAAATATATATTTGTTAAAGTCGGGGAGGGGGCCACACCACAGCAGCGGGGGGGGGGGGGGAGTAACACTGCAGGAAGTAAAGGGGGGGGGCACACTGCAGGAAGTTGAGGAGGGGGGCACACTGCAGGAGGTTGGGGGGTCTACTGTTGCTGGGAGAGATATCCTGTTGAAGGAGGGGTCTATTGCTGGGAGAGATCTCTCCTGTTGAAGGAGGGGGTCTATTGCTGTGCTGCTGGGAGGTATCTACTGTTAAAGGAGGGGTCTATTGTTGCTGGTAAAGATCTACTGTTGAAGGAGGGATCTATTGTTGCTGGGAGAGATCTACTCTTAAAGGGGTCTATTGTTGCTGGGAAAAAATCTGCTGTTGAAGGAGGGATCTATTGATGCTGGAAGAGATCTTCTGTTGAGGGACAGGTCTGTTGCTGGGGGGGGAGGATCTATTGTTGCTGGCTGCAGGGGATCTATTATAATTTTTTCTTATAAGTACTAAATTCCTTATCTCCACAAAATTATATTTGATTCTGTTTTTTTCTAAAAAGGGCGGGGTACTGGGAGATGGGTAGAGGTAGAAGCAATGGACAGTGCTAGGAGGTGGATAGGGCTGTGGGGACAAGGGGTGATTCGGAAAGGGGGGGTACCTTCTCCTACAAAAAAGCCCTGGTGGCAGGCCATATCTCCACCCCCCCCCCCACCTCCGGTCTGTGGAAAACCAGTCTTCCACCAAACCGGTCCGTGGTGCCCAAAACGTTGAGGCTGGTCTACAGTCTATAACAGGGAAAGGTGTGTGCTATGCATTAGAGCTGTGTAAATCTCAGACTGGATGGACAGAAAAACACACCCTTTTTGACAGGCAAATCATCCCCCCCTTATTTGTACGTCATCGACGCATCTAACTTGTGTGCCTGGAGTTTAGCTTCATAAGCACAGGAAACTGTGAACCATGTGGAGGTCGTTGCTGGTAAACAGTAGCACAAGTGACAGCCGAGTGTGCTCCTCGCACAGTTGCTATGCAGTGATAAGACTTGGCCTAGGCACTTCCCTTGTTCCTGAGTAAATCCGATATCATATCGTGTGAAAAAGATAACCACCATAACTTTGCTACAGTTCTCTTCTTCTCTCAAGCCCAACTAAAACCGAACCTTCGGAGAACCTTCATCAACGGAGTACCTTCATCATACAATGCACTCTCTTCCCACCCCGTGCCTCTGCAAAGGCTTTGTTCTTTTGCAACACGCACACGTTAACAAGTCTGACACGTTGTGGCTGAAGAGTGAACGGCACGGGTGAAAGTACTGGTAGAAGAAGAGCATGAAAAAAATGGCAGCGGCATATCCCACCAACAGCTGCACTATGAGGAGAGGAGAGCAAAAATACTCAAAGCCATCCTCCTTGTAAAAAATACCAGAGTATAACCAGAGCCGCGTTCTCAAGTAATCGAAAAGTGTAGTGGAGGCAGAGTCTTCCCCAATTCTGGGATTGGTCAATCAGGTCTCGCTCGGCCAAGTTGAGCTGGACCGCTGACCAGCAAAACATATTGATGGCGGAGTATAATAACGTCACGGTACCCAAGGCGATCATGGTGCCTATCCGGCTGAAGTTCTTCTCCACGTTCTCCAGGATGCTGTTCCCACTTCTCCAAAAGTTGACCCACGGCAATAGGAAGAGGGCCACCAGATTCACCACCACCACGATGGCCACCCAAGCTTTCAGCGCTGCACAGAAGAGCACCAAGACAGTAACGCGGGTGGCTATTTCCAAGGACCTCCACAGAATGATGCAGATGAATGCTGGCACGCTAAACTGGACTTTGTAGTCATCGTATTTGATCTGGATGGCCAGGATGTTGAGAACCAAAGCGCCGTAGGTGATGGAGGCCAGAGACATCGCCATGAGGACAGCTGTAAAGGAGACAAAGGAACACAGTATTAATGTTATATTAATACTGGATATTACAATATGCTATATCAGTGGTCTCCACATTGTGACCCAGGAGGCTGGATGCGGCCCTTTGTTTGATTTTATCTGGGCCCTTGGGGCACTTTTCCTACCACTGATGCAAAGCGCTATTCCTCCCACTGACACCAATGATGAGGCCCTATTCCTCACACTGACACGAAGATGGGGCCCTATTCCTCCCTCTGATACCAACGATGAGGCCCTATTCCTCCCACTGATACCAACGATGGGGCCCTATTCCTCCCACTGATACCAACGATGGGGCCCTATTCCTTCCACTGATACCAGCGATGGGGCACTATTCCTTCCACTGATAACAGCGATGGGGCACTATTCCTCCCACTGATACCAGCGATGGGGCACTATTCCTTCCAGTGATACCAGCGATGGGGCCCTATTCCTCCCACTGATGGGGCAGTATTCCTCCCACTGACACCAATGATGGGGCACTATTCCTCCTACTGACACCAATGATGGGGCACTATTCCTCCCACTGACACCAATGATGGGGCACTATTCCTCCCACTGACACCAATGATGGGGCACTATTCCTCCCACTGTCACCAATGATGGGGCACTATTCCTCCCACTGACACCAGTGATAGGGCACTATTCCTCCCACTAATGCCAAAAATGCACGGTTTACTCCCACTCAGTCTGCCCCTCCTAAAGTCTGAAGGACAGTAAACTGGCCCTTTGTTTAGAAAGTTTGGAAACCCCTGCACTATATGGTCAAAAAAATGTTGACGTCTCACAATTACCCCTACTATATAGCCAAAAGCACAAGGATCCTCCAAATTGGCCTCTTTCAACCAGTGTTCTATGGAACCCAAAAGTTCTTCCAAAAGGTTGCTAGGGGCTCGTTGAGCAATGAGCAACGTCTGCCTCTCAGATAAGTTTTCACCAACACCAATGATCTTTTTAGCTTTCTGTAAAGGAGGAATTCTTCTCAATGACCACCAACATAAGCAGCATTCATCTCAATGACACACATACAGTGAGCAGTAGGTATAGTAATTTTTAGCACTGGTTCCCTGAGCTTGAACTTATTTTCAAGGGTTCCTCCGTGTTAAAAGGGTTGAGAAAGGTTGCTCTAAATTATGATTGAACTCAGGTGTTTCCAGTGAAGGGTACCGGCAATGCTCATGCGTACAAAGACATTTTAGACAATTGCGCAGCATGGATCCACCACACCATGACACCACCACCACCAGTCTGAATCGTTAATACAAGGCAGGATGGATCCATGCTTTCATGTTGTTGACCCTACCATCTGAATGTTGCAGCTGAAATCCAGACTCAGACCAGGTAACGTTCTTCCAATCTTCTATTGTCCAATTTTGATTTGCCTGTGCGACTTGTAGCCTCTGTTTCTTGTTCTTAAGCTGACAGGAGTGGCACACGGTGTGGTCTTCTGCTGCTGTAGCCCATCTGCTTCATGGTTGGACGTGTTGTGTGTTCAGAGATGGTATTCTGCACACCTTGCTTGTAACGAGTGGTTATTTGAGTTACTGTTGCCTTTCTATCATCTGGAACCAGTCTGCCCATTCTCCTCTGATATCCACAAGGCATTTTTCTCCACCCAACCGCCACTCACTGGATATTTTCTATTTTTTCGGACCATTCTCTGGAAACCCTAGAGATGGGTGTGCATTAAAATCCCAGCAGCTGAAATACTCAGACCAGCCCGTCTCGCACCAACAACCATGCTACGTTCAAAGTTACTGAAATCCCCTTTCTTCACCATTCTGATGCTCGGTTTGAACATCAGTAAGTTGTCTTCAACACGTCTAGATGCCTAAATGCATTGCTTTGCGGCCTTGTGATTGGTTGATTAGCAATTTGTGTTACCAAGCAATTGAACAGGTGGACCTAATAAAGTGGCTGGGGTGTGTATATTATGACATATACTATGGCTGGTCATACACTATACAATTCTCTTGTGCAATTTTCCTTTAGATTTACCAAAAACCCTATGAGGTCAAACCTAAACAACACTTTCAGTTGTATCCAATTAAGTAGGCCCTTGCAGTACAGAGTTTAAGGTCAATTGAAATGAAATTGTACAGAAAATTATATAATGTATGGCCAGCCCTAACTGCCAAAAGTATTGGCCCCGCCCTCCAAATGATTGGATTCAGGTGTTCCAATCCCCTCCATGGACACAGGTGTATACAATCAAGCCCCTAGGCATGTAGACTGCTTCTACAAACATCGGTGAAAGAATGGGTCGCTCTCAGGAGCTCAGTGACTCCAAGCGTGGTCCCGTGATAGGTGGTCACCTGGGCAATAAGTCCATCAGTGACATTTCCTGGCTACTAAATATTCCACGCTCAACTGTTAGCGGGATTATTAGTGGGCGTGGCCTTCAGATTAGCATAACAGTGCGTAGAGAGCTTCATGGAATGGGTTTCCATGGCCGAGCAGCTGCATCCAAGCCTTACATCACCAAGTGCAATGCAAAGCGTTGGATGTTGTGGTGTAAAGCATGCCACGACTGGACTCTAGAGCAGTGGAGACGTGTTCTCTGGCATGACCAATCACGCTTCTCTGTCTGGTAATCCATAGACATGTCTGGGTTTGGCAGTTGCCAGGAGAACGGTACTTGCCTGACTGCATTATGCCAAGTGTAAAGTTTAGTGGAGGGGGAATTATGGTGTGGGGTTGTTTTTCAGGGGCTGGGCTTGGCCCCCTAGTTCCAGTGAAGGGAACTCTCAAGGTGACATTTTGGACAATTTAATGCTCCCAACTTTGTGGGAAGAGTTTGGGGATGGCCCCTGTGATAATTGTGCGCACAGATATGGACAATGACAACAATAATTTGGATCATACTCTGCAAATATCATTCTCTCCCCCCTCCTTTCCTTTGAATCAAATGTGGTCTGTGTGTGTGCTGAGTTCAGGAGTGCACAGGGCACAACTGGATACATTTCATGGTTATAAACCCAATTAGCTGGTTCCAGGGTGTCTGTCAGGCTCTTGCCTTGGCCTGGTCGTAAAGCTATAAACCAGTCAGTCACTGGACATGAAAGCATTCCCGAGTGGCAGTAAAACATACATCCCACTTGAAACCACTTTTTCATACAATTTCATAAATCCCGGAAGGAACAAGGTACAATAAATCAAAGCATATATTCAGATAGGTCAGTTTAATATGAGTCACCTGATACCTCACAGCCCTAGATAACATCTACCAGAGAGCAGAAAGCGATATCTCTTTAACCGCCACAGCCGGATATGTCATATTTGATGTCTAGACGTTCAGAATATCATTTTGCATATTAACCTGCCAGTGGCTAGGCTGCTGCATGCACCTATGGAAGGTTATTGACCATGGTATAAACTTGCGAGGGATTTGGGTCACAGTCTGAGTCCCCGCCTAAACACCCCTCCCCAAATGACGCGATTGGTTCTCTGCTTTAAGGAGACACCCTGCTGGGTTCCTAGAAAACAGGTTGTCATGCCTGGAGAGAGAAGATGAAGAGATTCTCCCTTTAAAGATCAGGAACCAACTTCAGGAGAAAAGGCACCCTTTTGTTCAGGACACTTGAACTCTGCTTAAACCAAGTACTCTGCCAAGTATTCTACCTTCTTAAACTTCTTTCTTTCATCTCTCTGTTGTGTTATTGCTCTCTCTATTTATATATATATATATATATATATTGGTTGCATCTTTTCTGTAAATATTTTTATTGCACCATTTTGACTTTTTTAGTAATAAATTATATTTTCTGAAAAGTGTTAAACTGTTTCTAAAGCACGTTAATGAAGAGTGCTACTGTGTGTTTTAAAACCTCTGGATACATCGGTCTGCGGTGACAGTGTGTATACAGACGATTATTCAAACATCATAGTGTTACTGCTAGGATTTGTGAGTTTCCTCCTCCTCTGTAAAAAGGAGGTGGTGGCAGTGTGAAGGGTTAATTGCGTAATTAACCTGACCCAGTAACAATCACTCTCAGGCTGTTGGCACCTAGATTGGGGTCCAGTGAGCTGGAAAATCTTTGTGCAGGGTGTATCTGAAGGTGCATTGTTACGCAAGTGGCAGCGCGGTTTTAGATTGGTTAGTCCTTGGGTCACAAGTTGGTGAGGACTGGGGTCTGATGCCGCGCCTGTCACAGCCCCTTCATGTTCCAACATGACTGCACACCAGTGCACAAAGCAAGGTCCGTAAAGACATGGAGGAGCCAGTTTTGGTTGGAGGAACTTGACTGGCCTGCACGGAGTCCTGACCTCAACCCCACAGAATACCTGTGAGTCAGGCCTTCTCCCCCGACATCAGTGCCTGACCTGACAAATGTGCTTCTGGAAGAATGGTCAAACCTTCCCATAGACACCTTCCTAAACCTTGTGGACGGCCTTCCCAGAAGAGTTGAAGCTGTTATAGCTGCAAAGGGCGGGGCCAACTCAATATTGAACCCTACGGACTAAGACTGGGATGCCATTAAAGGTCATGTCCGTGGAAAGGCCGGCCGACCAATACTTGGGGCAATACATTGTATGCTAACATTATGCTCACACGTGCTCTTGAGGAAGGCTGAGTGTTGGCGAAATGCATCTAGTTTTGTCGTATAATTACAATGGTCCTGTTACGGAATCTGTAAATCTTTTTTGTCACTACATATGGATGGAATCACGTGTCTCCTTCTGAATATTTCTACAATAAAAGTGGACTTTGATGTATACCCTGTGTTACCAGTTTTCTATCTGCCCTGAGAAAATCCCATAAATGTAGTCTTCTCCACTGGACGACGTCCATAAACACTCAAATGATAAAAAGGAACAAACGACTTCTAAACATAGAACACTGATAGGATGAGTACTTCAGTCATGGCACTGAATGTCATCCTATCATCTTCGACCAAAAATTCTTTAAACAAAGCCAGATCTTCCGTTCTCCTTATCCAGCCTGCGTGCGTGTTGGGCTCCGGCTAGGAAAGAA